TGAGGAAAAATGTCTTTACTGAAAGAGTGGTTAAACATTGGAAGAGGCTGCCCAGGGAAGTGGTTGAGTCCCCATCCCTGGAGGTATTTAAAAGATGTGTAGATGCGGCGCTTAGGGACATGGTTTAGTGGGCATGGTGGTGTTGGGTTGATGGTTGGACTCGATGACCTTAGAGGTCTTTTCCAACCTTAATGATTCTATGATTCTATGATTCTATGCATTGCCAACAAGGCCACTGTGCTGGTGAAACTATCTATGAAACAAATCAGAAGAGAAGTTCATTTCACCCACAATACCATGAACTGACTAATCAGCAGCGAGTGAGTGCAAGGCAGTGCATGTTCTATACTTTAAATTCTAGCACTTGGACTGGATTTTGCAAGTAGTAATAATTGATTCTATCAACTTTTTGCTAATTTCCTTCTTAAAACACTTGTCAGTCATGCTGGGCAATGAGTCAACCAAAAAAGGGCAGGCCTTTGGTTTTTGTCTTAATTGCTAGGACTCTTGTTAGCAGATGCTCTAACCCAACATGAAGAGGTATTGCACCTAATGCAGATATATATCTGCAAGAAAGTACGAATGGCTCCTTCCTGATACAAAAGGGACTCAGAACTCTTCCAGGGAGAAAGAGAAAAAGCATAGAAATTCCTGATCTACATAGAGGGTGCATATACTCTTCAATACGATGTTTCCATTAACCAATACAAGAATTGTGAAGACACAGAAAGCAGCTTTTCAGAAAAGTACTGGGGGGTATGGGGGAGTGTTCCTGGTGGCCACATTGAACACCACTCAGCAATGTGCTCTTGTGGCAATGAAACCCAACCACATGCTGAGCTGTACTAGCAAGAACATATCCAGCAGGTTGAGGGAAGTGATTATTTCCCACCGTTTGACATCTGAGAGACCACATCTGGAATGCTGTGCCCAGTTTGGGGCTCCCCAGCATGGGAGACAGATGGACAAACTCAAGCAAGCCCAGTGGAAGGACCATCAAGGTGGTCAGGGGCTGTAGCTCATGATGTACAGGAGGGGCTGAGCAGAGCTGGGTTTGCCCAGCCTGGACAAAGGGAGGCTGAGACCTCTGACTGCTGTCCTCAGCTATCTCATTCTGGTTATAAAGAAGGCAGAGAGGACACAATTTTCAGGAAAGAAACTTATGATTACCTATAAGGAAAAAAAAAGTCAGAGTGAAGGTAGTTCAGAACCAGAACAAGTTGCCTAGTCAGGCTGTGAAATCTCTGTCCCTGAAGATTTCAGAACTTGGCTGGGTAAGGCCCTGGTCTGACTTTGAAGTGAGGTCCGCTTTGAGCAGGAGGTTGGGCTAGATGACCTGAAAAGGGCTTTTCCAAACTAAATTCTTCTATGATTCTAACTACTGCATACAAATATTAATGTATTATTGCATCTGCCCCCATTTGCGCTTCAGGAGCTAAAATTGCTCTTTCCCTTATAACATACGGACTTTCCGTAGTGCTGTAGTATAGTAGTGCTGTAATATATCCAGTACATTAGACAAAAATGTAAGTCCATTTCTTCAGAATTTCTAGTAGAAAATCTGATGTGCGATGCGATAAGCCATTGGAGGCACATTTTGTAGTGTATCACTTAACTGCTGGGAAGAAGTTCTAGTCTGAAAATCAAATCTGGTAGGAGCTTGCATATAAGCTCTACCAAGAACTGTAAATAAAACAGTATCCAGGAGGGTAAAGGGCGTCTCTGGCACATACCATTGGCAAGTCATTCTTCCAGACTAAAGAAAGTTAAAGATCAGCATATATATGCTTAAAGGTTTCATAAAAAACTCATTCAAGTGACAAAAATCCACTTTGTGAGCAATTTTGCTCCCCTTCCCCCCACTTTTTTTAAAAAGGAAAATTTCCCAGAACATTACTGGTAGTTTCAGCTGCTACAGTCTTCAGATACAACCCCCCCCTACAATTACATCCTACTGGCATAGGCATAAATGTGGTTTCTCCTCGTTAAGGCTTGCACGGAGGGCAAAATAAAATTAAGAAGTGACTAAGAATTTACGGTAAAAGGATGTCATTTCCTTTTGCTGAATTTCTTTAGTCCTGAATCAGTTAAAATGATATTTTCTTGCTTCCTTTGTGTTTAGGTATTAAAAATTGCTCTTGTTTAGTTGTATTCCAGTAATACCGACTAAATTGGAGGCCCAGTGGTACTGGGTCTTGTCCAAACACACACAATACAAGTTTTCACTTGGAAGAGATCTCTTATAGCACAATTATAGAAAACAGACGCAGCAGGAAAAAAGAAAGCTTGTTGTTCCCATATCACAGCTGGAGACCACAGCACAGAAAAGGTAAGGGACTTGCCTAAGGCTACACAGAAAGTCTTTATATGTGGAATAAACGTGAACCTTTTAAGTCCCAGCCCAGTCCTGCAGTTTTCTTTGCCATAGTTCCTCAGGACTGTGATTTAGAAGATCACTGTGGGCAAAGTTTTAATTCACGATAGATGGGAAAAGTGAGTCAGGAGAGGGAACCAGTACAGTTAAGCAGTGCATTAATCAAAATAAAGGTAAATATTCAGGAAAACCAGGTGCAGTTTAGATTAGCACCTGGTAGACATAGTTCTGCAGATTATCCATGAAAAGCAGAAACAATCCTCACAGCAATACATAAGAATAGTCTTGGAAAGATATTTTTCCAAACCTCTATAACCTTTTGTTCTCAGTTTTTCCAGAAATTCTACAAGGAATGGAG